ATTATTATTATCATTGTTATCAATATCATTGAAAAAAACAAAAACAACAACAGTCTTGCAGACACCGGTCTGCAACTTCACCTGTAGACAAAGAAAAGGCCAGTAACTTTTCCAAAAGCATAAATGGTTGCATTTTTGTGTACAAACTTTAATCTCCTCTGTAATACCGTACAAGCATTAGATTTGGGTTTGGGGGTGGGGGCGACATATCTCCAACACCAGCGTTAATCTGAGAGACTTAACGACTTTAAACAAGGCTCAAACAAGCTCGGAAGCCGTGTCCTCAAAGGTCTTACCGTTAAGCCCTTTCTAGAGGCGCTAAGCACGTTGACAAAAAAGCAAGAACTGATTTATCGCAGTTTTAAAAGATGTTTGATTATGCTGGAAACGTACCCTGATCCCTGTTCATCCCTTATATAAACGAGAACCAAGAACATTTTCTCATATTTTAAAATGTAGGTGCTTTTTAACACCCCCATTGACACAATTTAGATTATTTAGGAGGCGGGCTTCGACCCTGCCTGTCAGGGACAACCCGGGGACTGAGAGGGATACAACATCCCAGCAGGCAGACTGAAATACTCGATATGTATTCTACCCACTCGTGTGACAGCGAATTTTCATAAACCGCTACACCAGCAATCCTCGTTATAACGATAGTGATAGTCTCATAGTAAATAGAATACACCTAAAACTTTGATCTCACCTTTTTTTTTTTTTTTTTTTTTTTTTTTGCATTTGCTTGCGGTGTGACGGTTATGGTGTGGTATTAGTTCCTGATATTGACCCTAAATTTAGAAAGAAAAACTGCTATCAACTGTCAATAATTTTTTTAAAAACCTTCTATTTCATTGTACTTATTTGATATTTCTATCTAGTGTGGCGTTCACTCGTAGAATTCTACTAGGCTCACAAACCTGCTCGCGGAAAATATATATGAAGATTTCAAAGGATTTTTTAACACCAACCATGATTTTCAACCATCTATTGTCCCGTCATTTTTTCGCAGACTTCTTGCTCATCTGACAGCCCCCAGAGTTTCCCTGACGACGAGATCAATTCTATCTGCTCCTCGGGATTTTTTGTAATATTCAGTCACTTACAATGTTATTCATGTACAATCTCTTTCAATAATTATCAATCATGTTCAATCATTTACCACAATATTTACCAAAAATGTCAATAATTTACAGTCGAATCTTAATATCTACTGTCATCCGCAGTCATCTACAATAGTCACCAATCATTCTAATTTACCCTGACTAAAAAGACAGCCTGCAAAGACTATTAACACTACACTCACTTCTAATCATTTCCAACTGTGACGTCCCTCTCCCAAAATATCACGCATGCGGCAGCTCACATGTGCAAAGTTTACCAGACGACCAGTTCAAGTCCCGCCTTCTAGCCACGATAACAACCATTTACAACGATTTACATTCGTTAACAATCCTTTACTATCATTTACAATCTCTTACAATCATCTCTAGCCTTCCAGCCCAGCACGCCCAGCAGCCCTGACTGTCTATCAGATGGCTAGTTTCAGTCTCGTCTGCTGGTCACGTTTGCAATCATGTACAATCACTTGCAATCATTTGCGATAAAGCAGTCTCTTACAATCATCCCCAGCCTCCCAGCCCATCCGGCAGATCCCAGAGTCTATCAGACGACCAGTTCAAGTCCCGTCTTCTAGCCATGATTACAATCATGTACAATCATTTACAATCATGCACAATCATTTATAATCATTTACGATAAACCACAGTCCCCTACAATCACCCCCAGCCTCCCAGCACATCCGGCAGCACCCACAGTGTACCAGACGACCAGTTCAAGTCCCGCCTTCTGGCCATGAAGACAACCATATTTTACAACCTTGTACAATCATTTACAATCATTTACGATAAACCACAATCTCTTACAATCACCCCCCCAGCCTCCTAGCACATCCGGTAGCTCCAACAGTGTACCAGACGACCAGTTCAAGTCCCGCCTCCTGGCCATGATCCCGCGCGGTGTGTTCCTCCCGGACACGCCCATAGTACTCACGCAGAAGGATGAGATGAGACTGCTCACTATGCTAGCCCAGGAGCTGTACTACGCTGACCCCGTCAAACTGAGAGATGTATACCTAGACATCGCCAACTCCGCCGATAAACAGTTGAGGGGGTATTGCCAGTACCAGGAGTTGTTTCATTCATTGGCTAGGGTCTCGGTGAGTTGTGAGAGGGTGGGGGGAGGGGGAGAGAGAGAGAGAGAGAGAGAGAGAGAGAGAGAGAGAGAGAGAGAGAGTGTGTGTGTGTGTGTGTGTGTGTGTGTGTGTGTGTTTGTGTGTGTGTATGTGAGTGAGTGAGTGGAAGAGAGAAAGTGAGAGACAGAGAGAGAGAGAGAGAGAGAGAGAGAGAGAGAGAGAGAGGGGGGAGAGAGAGAGAGGTGTACCAAGAATTCGCCAACTCCGACAGTTGAGGGGGTATTGTCAGTACCAGGAGTTGTTTCATTCTCGATGAGTTGTGAAAATGAAAAGGAGAGAGAGAGGGAGAGAGAGGGAGAGAGAGAGAGAGAGAGAGAGAGAGAGAGAGAGAGAGAGAAAGGGAGGGAGAGAGAGAGAGAGAGAGAGAGAGAGAGAGAGAGAGAGAGAGAGAGAGAGAGGGGTGGGATGTGTGTGTATCTAGACATCGCAAAATCTGCCGAATCTATACGAGGTGAATCATGGTGAGGTTGGGATGAGGTGGGAGAATATGAGAGAGACAGAGAGAGTTGGGGGGGGGGGGTACGTCTTTTTATTTCCCCTCTCACTTTACATATCTCTCCCTGTATGATCTTTACATGTCTCAACATAGGTAAACTCTACTTAATAACAGATCTACCTCTACATAAAAATATCTCTGCACTTGTCAGCTTTACACATCTCTACATATTATTATTATGAGATCTTTACCTGAAAATACCTTTACACAATGTGATCTTCATTTATCTCAACACTTGACATTTTTTCATATTTCTACATTAAGTGGCCTTTACAATTCACTCCACACATGGTTTTCACATATCTCTGCATACATGTGATCTTTAGGATCTCTACGTGTGATCTTTCATCATCATCATCCGGTGCCTTGCCGACTGGCGTGGGCGATCATTGACCTCCACTTCACTCTGTCTTGCGATGCAGCAATGGTGTCCGTTGTTCTTGCTGCTCCTAGCCCTGTTGTCATCTTGTTCAGTATCTTTTCCCTCTGTCTGCCTCTGCCTCTCTTTCCATCGACCTTGCCTGTTGTTACAATATTTTCCAATGCTTCTTTCCGCATTGTGTGTCCGAAGAAATTTGCCTGTCGCTTTCATATGTTCGTCATAAGCTGTCTTCTACAATTTACTTCAACCAAGACTTCTTCATTTGTTTTCCTAGCTGTCCATGGGATACGTAGCATGCGTCTTATGAACCACAAACCTGTCGCCACAATTGTTTGTGATCTTTACATATCTCTAAATAGATCTAAGTTTACACAATATTTCTATATGATGTGATCTTTACAGATCTTTTCACACATGATCTTTACATACCGGCGTAATAGTATCTCTACAAATAAGTACATAATTATAATGTGACCTTTGACCATCTCTCCCGCCAGTTAAAACTCCCACCAGACCTGCTCCAGCTGGTAGCCGCCATGTTTGTGTCTGATCACCGGAACCAGAGGGACGTGAACTACGAGAAGTTTCTGTCCTTTGTGGGCGTCGCCATGAAGAGTAAAGATAGAGTGTGAGTTGATGGAGAGTGGGTGAGGGGAGGGGAGAGAGAATATAAGAGAGAGAGAGGGGGGGAGGGTAAAGATAAAGTGTAAGTCGGTGGAGAGGGAGAGAGGGAAGAGGAGAGGGAGGGGAAGAGGAGGAGGAGGAGAGAGAGAG